GAGGATCATTTTTACTATTTTCTGCAGGTATTTTCCCAGATTTTCACTGGACTTTTAACTTTACATTTTTTTAATTTCAAGGAAAGAAGCCACAAAACTTTTCAAAAGTTAGTCTGTCTTCCTTTCTGTACTGTGAACCCTTGCGGCAGATTGTTCCTTGCTATTGTCATTAGAAATAGCTTATGTCAGGGTCATTAGTGGCCTCCAATTACTATGCAGTGGAGCCAGTTTTTACTCTTCATCTTACTTGCTCTCTCAGCAACATTCGATGTAGCTAATGACTTCTTTTTTGAACACTTTGTCCACTGGGCTCCGGAAGACCAACTCCAGGTTTTTTCTTATTATCCCACTGGCCTACCTTCTCAGTTTGCTGTCTCCTTCTCTATCTTTGAGCGGTCCGCTGCCACGTTCTTAGACTGGATCTCGCCCCAGACATCAATGCACTCTGTTGCCTAACAATCATCCAAACCTAGAACATATTCACAGGAAAACTCCTCTTCTCCCTGAAACATACCTGAAAGAAAGAGAATGTCTGTACAAGGGCCTATGTCATCTGGTTCTCTGGTATCATTTTTGTTTTATTTTCAAACCTCCAACCATTTCCCCTTACTTACTTCTGCTCCAGCCACACTGGCCTCCTTGCTGTTTCTGAAATAAGGCCTGTATGCTCTCTGTTTCCCCTTCCTAAAAACACAATTAAGTTGATTGCTCCATTATTGATTGTTTTTTCTTAAATACAATATTTAAGACTTTCAGTTTTCTTAGAATAATAAGCTGCTTTCATTCACCCACCATCTTTTAGTATACTGTGTTTTTATTGTCATTTTTATAACATTAGAAATGAAGGTGAGATAAAAATCTCAGATAAGCAAAAGCTAAAGGAATTTATCACCACTAGACCAATCTTACAAGAAAATACTTAAGGGAGTGCTACAACTGGAAACAAAAGGATGACAATTACTATCATGAAAAAACAAGAAAATACAAAACTCACAAGTATAGGTAAATTCATAATCATACTCAGAATACCCCAGTGTTGCAATAGTGCTGTATAAATCTATCAATCCTCTTTCATGAAGGTTTAAAGTCAAAACAGTCAAAAACAACATCAGTTACAATTACTGGCTAAGGACACAATAAAGATGTAAACTAAGGCAATAAAAATATAAATTGTAGAGGGAAGGGAAAAATTCTAGAGTATTTTTATATGACCAAAGTTGAGTTGGATACAGTTTAAAATAGTCTATTATAAGTACAAGACTGTTTATCTTAGCACCACAGTAACCACAAAGAAAGAAATGACAGCAAATACACAAATAAGAAAGAGAAAAGAAACAAAGCTTAGCACCATAGACAACCATCAACCCACAGAAGTAAACAACCAGAAAGGAAGAAAAAGATCTACAAAACAACCAGAAAACCATTAACAAAATGGCAGGAGTAAGTTCTTACTTATCAATAATAACCTTGATTAAATTCTTCAATTAAAAGATATAGAGTAACGGAATGGGTTAAAAAAAAGAAGACCCAACTATATATGTTTCCTGAAAAAGACTCACACTGTTAAAGACAAACACAGACTGGAAGTGAAGGGATGGAAAAAGATAGTCCATGCAAATAGAAACCAAAAGTGAGCAAGAATAGCTACATTTATGTCAGACAAAATAGACTTTAACTCAAAAACTGCGAAAGGTCATTATAATTGATAATGGTCACTGTAGAAGATCATTATATAATAACTTACTATATAATCTATAATGAAAAAAGGGATTCAACAAGAGGATATAATAATTGTAAATAAACACCACCAGAACACCCAAATACATAAAGCAAATATTATTAGACCTCTAGGGGGACAAGACTGCAATACAATAATAATAGGGACTTCAACACCCCACTTTCAATAATGGAAAGATCATCGAGACAGAAAACCAACAA